TTGGGTATTTAAGTAGGAATGGGCTACTGGGCTAGTGGACAGGCGTATATTTGCTTTTGCAGGTACTTCCAAATAGTGTATAAAGTGGTTGTAATCAACCCACAAGATATGGGTGTTCTATGTTGTTTGTATTTTATTTTAATTTATGTTTTGCTAGTACTGGGGTTTAAACTTGGACCTCACTTTTTTTTTTTTTTTTTGGTCAGTTGTGGGGCTTGAACTCGACCTGGGCGCTGTCCCTCAGCCCTTCAGCTCAAAGCTAGAGCTCTACCAGTTGAGCCACAGTGACACCTCCAGTCTTTTGGTGGTTAATTGGAAATAAGAGTCACACTGACTTTCCTATTTGGGCTGGCTGTGAACCATGATCCTCAGATCTCAGCCTCCTGAGTAGCTAGGATGACAGGCCATTAGCCACCGGCACCCAGTTGGGCCTCTTTTTTTTCTGCACCCCTACCACTTGAGTTATACTCAGCCTACCCTTTTCTTAGTTATTTTGCAGATAGAGTTCTGTGGACTTTTCTGCCTGGGCTGGCCTCAAAGCATGGTCCCGTCAATCTTAGCCGGGGCCAGGGTTGCAGGCTTGATTGACTAGTGCCCAACTTCATTTATTTTTTGTGTTCTGGTTACTAAGGCTTCAACTCAGGGCCTGAGTTCTGTTCCTTAGCTTTTTCACTGAAGGCCAGAGCTTAACCACTTGAGCTCCACTTTTAGTGGATAGAGATAAGAGTCTTAGAGGCTTTCCTGCTCAGACTGTCTTTGAACTGTGATACTTAGATCTCAGCTTCCCGAGTAGCTAGGATTTCAGGCATGAGCCACCAGGGCCTGGCTCCAACTTATTTTTTAATGTTTTGTAATGGTAGATTTCAGAGGAGACTGTTTCAGGCAAATACTAGTAGACCTAGAACTTTTCTCTCTCCTTCCGGCGGTAATTTTAAGGTCTTGTAGGAAGTAGGAAGAAATTTGTTCACAGAGCAACCCACAGGGAAGGAAAATTCCTCAAACTCTCTGGCCCTAAGCCATGCTGTTATGCATCTTTGGGTATTATCCTGTTTCATTGCTTTGGCTGCTGCTGAGGGACATCCAGACATGGTGTCCCTTGGGGCATCAGTTCCATGAGGTGGGTGCCTTGGCCGTTTGTCTGACATGCGTCCCCCCAGTTTCCACATGGGTCCCCAGGTAGTTGCACTTTTGCCACTCAAACCTCTGACTTTACCTTCTCTGTTATGGTTACTGAGAGTTTATGTGCATGATCCATTTAAAACCTAAGTCAGATTATGTCATGCCCAAGCCCAGAGCCCTCCAGTGGTTTCTACCCCACGAGAGAAAAGCAAAATCAGCATCATCCATACTTGAACCAGAGAACTTTTTTTGCTATATTTGGAGAAAGGTATTTGTTTATCTTTTGCATTGTAGGGTGTGTAGCTGCCTCCCTGGGCTCCAGCCACTGCATGGCAGCAGCTCCTCCTCCCATCCTGGCACTTACATGCAGGCCTCAGGACAAACCGCCCTCCCCCCACCCCCCACCCCTCCACCCCCGTTGAGAACCTTAGTTTTGTTTGGATTAAATATCCAACATTTTCTGTTCCATACCCATCCAGTTACTCTCCCGATGTTCATTCACTGTAGCCACCTTGTGCCCTGCTGCTCTTGGAACATGCCAGCTTCCCTCTAGGCTTCGGCCTTGATGGTCACATTTCATAAGATCTAACATTTTCTTTTTTTTTTTTTTTTTGGGGTCCCGTCGTGGGGCCTGAACTCTGGGCCTGGGCGCTGTCCCTTAGCTCTTCAGCTCAAGGACTCTGGGCCTGGGCGCTGTCCCTTAGCTCTTCAGCTCAAGGCTAGTGCTCTACCACTTGAGCCACAGCGCCACTTCTGGCCTTTTTCTTTTTGCTTATGTGGTGCTGAGGAATCGAACCCAGGGCCTCATGCATGCAAGGCAAGCGCTCTACCACTGAGCCACCTTCCCAGCCCCAAGAGCTAACATTTTCATAGTTGTTGTTTTTTGGTTTTTTTTTTTTTTTTGGTCAGTCATGAGGCCTGAACTCATGGGTTCTGTGTCCCTTAGCTCTTCAGCTCAAGGCTAGCACCCTAGCCACAGTGTCATTTCCAGCTTTTTTCTGCTTATGTGGTGCTGAGGAATCGATCCCAGAGCCTCATGCATGCAAGGCAAGCATTCTATGACAGAGCCACCTTCCCAGCCCCATTTTCATAGATTTTTAAAAATTTATACCATACCCTGGTATCTCACGCCTGTAATCCTACCTATTCAGGAGACTGAGATCTGAGGATCATGGTTCTGAGCCAGTCCAAGTAGGAAAGCCTATGAAACTCTTCAATTAACTACCAAAAGCCAAAAGTGAAGCTGTGATTCAAGTGGTAGAGCATCAACCTTGAGTGAAAAAGCTAAGGGACAGCACCCAGGCCCTGAGTTCAAGCCCTAGGACTGGCACCAAAAAATTAATAAAAATTTGTATAATGCTGTCCACTAGAGAAGCATTCCATGAAGGCAGGGATAGATAGATAGATAGATAGATAGATAGATAGATAGATAGATAGATAGATAGATAGATAGATAGATAGATAGGAAAAAAATATGTTTATATATGATATATATGTAATATATATAAAATATATTTTACATATATATATTATTTTTTTGCCAGTCCTGGGGCTTGAACTCAGGGCATAGATACTGTCCCTGAGCATTTTGCTCAAGGCTAGCACACTACCACTTGAGCCACAGCACCACTTCCAGCTTTTTCTCTATAGGTGGTACTGAGGAATTGAACCCAGGGCTTCATGCATGGTAGGCAAGCACTCTATCACTAATCTACATTCTCAACCCCATGACAGGGATTTTTGTCTGTTATACTGCTTGTGGTTGCCAGGACAGAACTGGCATATAGTCAGTGCTCAGGAAATATCTGTTGGCTGAATATTTTGTGTACTCCTTTCAGTAACATTGGACAAGGCCAAAGGTTTAGGGTTTTTAAAAATATAGCTCTTCTGTTTAACAATGTGCAACCTTGGGACTCTAAAATTGCCTTTGATCCAGTGTTCACTATAAAACAGCAGGGAAAAACAGAGAATGAGTCAGCCAGACCAGGAGTAGGTTTTAGTTCAGTCACTTCTCTGTGTGACCGTGGGAAACCAGTGCATTCTTCTGCGCCTTGTCTGTGAGTAAATACTCTTCAGAGTTGTCATAAAACTTAGCTGAGCACAGTCACTACTAAATGATAAGCATGTCTTAGGTGCCCAAAAGCCGAATCCAAAGCCAGGTTCCAGTTGCTCTCACGTATAATCCTAGCTGTGAGGAGGCTGCAAGCAGGAGGATTGTGGTTCAAAGCCATCCCAGGAAGATCAAGTCACAGAAACCCCTTCTCAACACATAGCTAGTCTCAGTAGTATGTGCCTGCCATCCCAGTTTCCGTAGATGGCTGAGATTGGGAGGGTGATGATGCCAGGCCTGCCCAGGCAGACAAGTTTTTATTTTTCTTGTGCATATCCTGAGGCTTGAACTCAGGTCCTGGGTGCTATCTCCGAGCTTTTGTGCTCAAGGTTAGTGCTCTACCACTTGAGCCATAACTACACTTCTGGCTTCTTTTGTGGTTAATTGGAGAAAAGAGGCTCATGGACTTTCCTGCCAGGTTAGTTTTAAACCATGATCCTTAGATCTCAGCCTCCTGAGTAGCTAGGATTACAGACATGAGCCGGCACCCAGACAGGCAGAAATGTTGGTGACTCTATCTTCACGGAAGGGAAGTTGAACATGGTGGCATGCACCTGTGATCCCAGCTACAACAGGAAGCCTAAATGTAGATAGATTGATGCTCAGGTGTAAGCCATAGCAGGAAGTGAACCCAGTCATAAAAATAACCTGTAAGGTGGGAAGGGGCAGGAAACAGAGCTGGGAGCCAGATACCAGTGGTTCAGGCCTATAATCCTAGCTACTCATTAGGCTGAGATCTGAGGATTGAAGTTTGAAGCCAGCTTGAGCAGACAAAGAGAATCTTATCCAATTTAACCCACAGAAAGCCAGAACTGGGACTGGAAATGTAGCTTAGTGGTAGAGTGCTTGCCCTAGCATGCATGAATCCCTGGGATCAATTCCTCAGTACCACATGAACAGAAAAAGCCAGAAGTGGTGCTGTGGTAGAGTGCTAACCTTGAGCAAAAAGAAACTCAGGGGGGCTGGGAAGGTGGCTCAGTGGTAGAGCGCTTGCCTTGCATGCATGAGGCCCTGGGTTCAATTCCTCAGCACCACATAAGCAGAAAAAGCTGGAAGTGGCGCTTTAGCTCAAGTGGTAGAGCGCTAGCCTTGAGCTGAAGAGCTGAGGGACAGCGCCCAGGCCCAGAGTTCAGGCCCATGACCAACAACAACAGAAAAGAAGAACTGAAGGAGTGGTTCAAGTGGTGGAGGGCACCTATGAGTGAAAAGGCCAAGCAAGAGCAGGAGGCCCTGGGTTCAAGCCCAGTGCTAGCACGAAAAAGAAAACTAAAAAACAGGGCTGGAGACATAGCTCAGAAGTATGGCATCAATCTAGCAATCACAGGGTTCTGAGTTCAAATCCCCAGTACTGAAAGGGAGAGAGGGGAAGGAAGGAAAGACCAAATCATGACATTTCTAAGTCCTGTCCTTAGGCCAGAGATTGAGCTCTTTGTGAACTTGAGACACAGGAAGTCAAGGGGTATAATGATTGAATATTTCACTTCACATTTCTGAGGAAGAAGAAAAGCTATTGGAAAATTCTTTTTGATGGCCCTTGTTTCGAAGCATCCCTGAGCTAGCACTGTAGCTTCGAGATGGAGCGCATGCTCCGTGTGTACACAGCACCAGCAAGTGAGGGCGGGATTCTTCTGCTGTGGCATTGAACGGTGTGCCTGTCTGTCTACCTTAAGGAATGCACTGTTTTGGCAGGTTGAGTTTAAAGCAGGCGTGGTGGGTGGCAGGGATCTCCTCTGACCTGTGAGCTGCTTCCCGAGCCCTGTCTGTCTTTCAGAATCTTCCCTGGAAAAGGAGAGGGAGACTCCCAGTCCCATCGACCCCAACTGTGTGGAGGTCGATGTGAACTTCAACCCAGACCCTGCCGACCTGGTCCTCTCCAGCGTGCCTGGCGGGGAGCTCTTCAACCCTCGGAAGCACAAGTTTGCCGAGGAGGATCTGAAGCCCCAGCCCATGATCAAAAAGGCCAAGAAGGTCTTTGTCCCCGATGAGCAGAAGGTAACCTAGAGTACTGATCAGCAAAGGGCTGTGGGCAGAGACTCAGCGGTAGAGGGCTTGCTTACCCCAGGCAAGGACCTGAACTCCAGCATGTGCACGTGCATGTGCATGTGCATGCACACACACACACACACACACACACACACACACACAGAATCTAGGGTCTGCACATACGATTTTATCTCCCTCCTCATGGACACCAGCCAAAAAAGCATGAGTTTTTGTTTTCTGGGTTTTTTGTCAGTCATGGCGCTTGAACTCTGGACCTAGGCTCTGTCCCTGAGCTCTTCAGCTCAAGGCTAGCACTCTACCATTTGAGCCACAGCACCACTTCCAGTTTTCTGGTGGTTTATTGGAGATAAGAGTCTCATAGACTTTCTCGCCTGGCTGGCTTTGAACCATGATCCTCAAATCTAAGCCTCCTGAGTAGCTAGGATTATAGGCGTAAGCCACCGGCGCCCGGCCAAGTCCCTGTTTTAAAGGGCAAAAAACAGCTTACATGTGGCCGGCCGTCTGCAGGGACATGTGAGCGAGCAGCTCTCAGCCAGATGACTGTAGGAACCAGAGGGAAGAGGAAACTCCTGGTTTTTCCACCCTTCTAGAAAAACACACAGGAAGGCCTTATGCTGGTGGTATACTACCCTGTCCTCCTAGCTACTCAGGAGGCTGGGCAGGAAAGTCCATGAGACTCTTATCTCCAGTTGACCAGCAAAATGCTAGAAGTAGAGTTGTGGCTCAAATGGTTGAGTGCCAGCCAGCCATGAGCCAGTCTTGAGTAAGCAAGAGTGTGAGGCCCAGTACTGGGGGGAGGGGGGATATATATATAGGAGGGGAGGGAGGGAGGAGGACTTTTCATTAAAGCTATGGAGACAAGGAGACCACTTTCCCACCCATGATCTTTTTTTTGTTGTTGAGCTAGGTCTACGCATTGTCCCTGAGCTTTAGTTCTGGCCATACCAGTGCATTAAGAGAGGCATCTGGGGGCTGGGAAGTGGCTCAGTGGTAGAGTGCTTGCCTTACATGCATGAGGCCCTGGATTCGATTCCTCAGCACCACATAGGCAGAAAAAGATGGAAATGGCACTATGGCTCAAGTGGTAGAGTGCTCGCCTTGAGCTGAAGAGCTGAAGGACTGTGCCCAGACCCAGAGTTCAGGACCCATGACTGACAAAAAGAGAGAGAGAGAGAGAGAGGCATCTGGCTGATTGGAGGGAAAGATTGGGGAGAACTAGAGACCCACACGGGGTCCTTCCCCCCACAGGACGAGAAGTACTGGACGAGGCGCAAGAAGAACAACGTGGCGGCGAAGCGGTCTCGGGATGCCCGGCGCCTGAAGGAGAACCAGATCACCATCCGGGCGGCCTTCCTGGAGAAGGAGAACACAGCCCTGCGGACGGAGGTGGCCGAGCTACGCAAGGAGGTGGGCAAGTGCAAGACCATCGTGTCCAAGTATGAGACCAAGTACGGGCCCTTGTAACCCGCACCCCGCCCGGGCAGGGCACTGCCTGCACCTCAGACCTCTGCCTGGGGCTCCCTGGACCCCACGCACGCGTGGAGACTTAGGACTCGTCGTGGGCACGTGGTAGCGCCCTGCTCTGGGGGTGTTCACGTCTCAGCTTCATTATGACACGGCCAGTGCACGCACAGGGCGACTTCCCTGGGGAGGCAGTCTCCATGTTGGAAGGGGAACGTGAGGAGAATCTATGTAGACGGGAGGATGGCCGGCCTTCCTGTCCCCCGACATCCCAGCTGAATTGGAGGGGGCCCTTTGGAGTGCGATCCTCCGCTTTCCCAGGGCCCTCGGGCCTCCCTCAGCCCCGCGGAGGGCCGCGTCTGCGGAATGAGTCATGAGCGCCTCACCCTTCCGTCGTCTCAGGTAGCAGGTGCATTTCCACTGCGGCGTGTCTGTCGTGCACCTCCCTTTCCCCCAGAAAGTCTCTGCAAGAAGCATCCATTCCCATCTTCCTTGGAGGTAGCTGATGCGGGGGGGGGGGGGGGGGGGGCGCCCCAGGAGCGGGCTCTTTGATCACCCTGGGGCCAGGTGGGGTTTGAAGGCCTGCAGCAGAAGCACGCCCACCCGCTCTCAGTTCCACACCCCATTTCTCCTGTGGCTCCGAAGCCAGAGGAGCGAGGCCCTGGGGACCCCCTCTGTGTCTTCCCTGAGAGACTCCAGCATGGTGGGTGGCTGATGAGCAGTGCAGGGGGAGGAGCGGGAATCTGTCCTTCTCCTCCCGGCCAGGCCCGACCTGGACGCTGCCCCGAGAACCTTGTGTTTATCCCAGCCGACTGGCCTCGGCTTGCTGGCCCCCTCCGCCCGCAACCCCCCTCAGACCTGGGATTTTAAAAGGAAGCACTAACTTCTTGAGCCCCAGGGTCCTCCCCGGCACAGTGTTTGGGCAAGTGGCCTCCACAGCTCCCTCCCCTGGGGGCCCCAGAGCCCAGGGCTGTTTCCTGAGAAGTTCCATTGTTTTCTTGCTCTGCCCACCAGTGTGGCACAGGCTGAAGCCTGCTGTCCCTGGAGGCAGAAAAGGGCTTCTCGGTCCTGGCTCTGGACCCCTCCCCGTGCGCTGCCCCCAGTGCATCAGCCAGGCAAGGCACCTCCAGAGTTGCCAAGGACACTGTGACTCCTAGGACGTTTCTACAGTCCTAGAGTCCCTCTCTGTCTAGTCAGGGGGCCACCACACAGGCCTGGTCACCCAGTGGGGCAGTTTCCACAGCCGTGGCTGTGTCTTTTTCTTACGTTCCACTGGACAGACGAGTTAACTGAGGCAAGTTGTGGAAGCCTCTGCTCCTTTGAGTCCACTGGGCGCCCCCTGGCGGCCGATGTGAAGAATACAGACGTGACGGAGGCACTTTGTTCTGCTTAACACTGGCTTTATTTCCTACGGTGGCTCACTGGTAAAGACTTTGTGCAAGGGGACGGTAAGACTGGGAAAAACCATCCACTGGCCATGGACTGCACCCGGGGGATGCCACAGCCCTCCAGGACCTGCACACCTGCCTCTCCCAGGGCCTTGACACGGGCCCCGAGGCCTAGGGAGTCTCTTCTTCCTCGCCTTTGACTTTGTGGTTCTGTGGAAACCGTGTGCACACTTTCACTCTGTTGTACCCACCCAGGGCAGTTGCATCCAGCATGTCAGTGTTCTGCCCCGCCACGCCACCCGCGTTCACCTTCTGGAGTGGCTGCTCACCCAGAGCCGGTTCTCGTTTGTTTTTTTTTATGGTGGACAAGCCTCGAGCTGAAAAGCTCTTTATTTCCTTCGGCTCGAAAACGTAAGGTTTGTGATTTTCTTTTTCACTTTATTTTTTTATGGGGTGGACACTTCGTCTCTGGATGGCGTCTGTGTTCTGACCCCCAGAGGATTAGGGGGGGGCTTGTTGTCTCTCACCCCTTGCTACCCCCTTCTGCCTGTGCAATGCCCCCCCCTTCTTCTCCCAGGCAGGGGTGTCTGGTTCCTTCCCAAAGTGCTTAATTGGAAAGAGTGTTGCTACTGGCCTCTTGGGCGCGGCCCTTGGAGTCAGGACCTTGGCAGCGACCGGAAGGAGAAGTCTGGAGGTTGGCATTTTTGGGGAGAGATGCTCAGGTGAGCTTGCTTCCTCCCTGGCTTTACGCACTGAGGCCTTGCAGAGAGGATTGGTGCCTGCCTGTGTGCCTGTCTGCGGGGGCCCCGGGGCCTCTCCCTCTGGGCCTTCTGCAGCCAGAGCTGGAGCAGCTGATTTCGGTTTGGTGTTCCGTGGGTTCACTTTGGGCTGGGCAGTCTGCCTCATCACAGCCACGGAGTAGACAAATCATGAATAAGCTAGAATACTGCAAAAAAAAAAAAAAAAGTACTCATGAGAAACGTCTAGATAGACAAATACATATCTAGAGATGCAGCAGCCTTGCGGAGGGCCCGGATGTCCGGACCTTGGCAGAGGATGAGCTTTGCCCAACTAGTTCCTGCTTGGGGGAAGGCACCGGGCGGCGCCCCCTGCCCAGAGCCAGGCTGACCTCCAGCCGGCAGGGCGGTCCTTTGTGCCGGCCAGCTCTGCACACGGCACTCGGAAGGGCCCAGGAGCGCCTGTTGTTAGCGTGGCAAAGCTCCTTTAACATCTGTTAATTAAGTGCAATAATTTTTTTCTAGAAAATGGCAAAGATGACTTCCAGGTAGAGAGTGCTATCTTTTGCTGTTGGGGGGATGCCAGAACACTACTTGGGTTTATTTTTCTAAGTGCATGTGGTGAGACGGAGCGCGGGCTCTGCCCTCCCCGGAAGCCAGCGCTCCAGCAGCCCCCGTCTCCCTTGCTTTCGCTGGGGGAAGGCGGCCAGGGAAAGCCCTTTCTTCCTGCATGGAGTGGGTAGGGGCAGACCACAGCCCATTGGCCTTACGTGAGCGTGTGCGTGCGAGTGGGTCACTGCTGGTGGCCAGAGTGACGCGGGGAGGGAAGCGGGAATGTATGTATCCTTTTCAAAAGAAAATTAAATATTTTGAGAAAAAAAGAAAGTGTGATGGAACTTTCTGTTACTGTCCCCCACCCCCACCCGGCCTCGGTGCCTGAGTCAAGTCACAAAACTGTCTCATCCCATCCTGCCACCACGCTTGTCATCAGCCAAATGCCCTTGGCCAGTGGTGCCTCAGTTTCTTCATCTGTCCACGAAAGGAATTTTTGCCACTTATATTAAAGAAGGAAACATACCAGACCCAAAGTGGTAGTTGGTGGACTATTATGAAATGTGTTCTCGGGCTGGGAAGGTGGCTCAGGGGTAGAGCGCTTGTCTCGCATGCATGAGGCCCTGGGTTCGATTCCTCAGCACCACATAAGCAGAAAAAGCCAGAAGTGGCACTGTGGCTCAAGTGGTAGAGCACTAGCCTTGAGCTGAAGAGCTGAGGAACAGCGCCCAGGCCCAGAATTCAAGCCCCACAACTGACAAATAAATAAATGTCTTCTCAAACACTTGATGGCAGCCACAGGGAAAGAAAAAAAAACGGCAAGCCGGACCCACGCCTGTAATCCCAGCTATTCAGGAGGTTAAAATCTGAGGATCATGGTTCAGAGCCAGCCTGTGCAGAAAAGTCTGTGAGACTCTTACTCCAGTGAACCACCAGAAAACCGGGAGTGGTACTGTGGCTCAAAGAGGTAGAGAGCTAGTCCTGAACAAAAAAGCTCTAGGAGCATGTCCAGGCCTTGAGTCCAAGCCCCAAGACAGACCAAAACCAAAACAAAACATGGCAGGTACTGGTGGTACACACTGAAGCCCGCTCTTTGGGAAGCTGAGTGGGAGACCACCTCGGGTGAAATCTGACCTGCGGTCCCACACAAACTGCCAGGAGCCGCTAAGGTCCTAGTGATGGGGTTGGAAGAGTTTCCTCTGGCCACAGGAAAGTCTGTGAGACTATCTCCAATGAACCACCAAAAAGCCCCAAGTGGAGCTATGGCTCAAGTACTAGAGCACTCAAGCACAGCAGCTTAGGAACAGCACCCTGGCTCTGAGTTCAAGCCTCTGCACCAGCACAAACACAACAAAAAACAACACAAAAAAGAAACACTCAGGCTTCTACAGACGGGTGTGGCCCTGTGCAGGGTGCCAGCAGTCACGCCAGGCAATCAGCTGCGCTGGCATGCCCGGGTCTCCTGCTCGGGGCCGGAGCTACTCCCATGCCAGTGTCCGGGCCCCTGTGGTCTCAAGGCGAGTGCGCTACCACATGAGCCACAGCACCACTTCCAGTTTTCTGTTGGTGTATCGGAGATAAGAGTCTCACAGACTTTCCTGACCAGGCTGGCTTTGAATCTCGATCCTCAGAGTTCAGCCTCCTGAGTAGCTAGGATGACAGGTGTGAGCCACCAGTGTATTTGAAGTTTGGCAACAAGGCTGGCCAGGTGGTGGTTTTTGTTTTGTGCCAGTTCTGGTGCTTGAACTTAGGGTCCCAGTACCCTTCCTGAGCAGCTTTGCTCAAAGCCAGCCTGGGCAGGAAAGCCCTTTAGATATTTATCTCCAATTAACCACCAAAAAAGTCAATTGGAGGACTGGGAATGTGGCTTAGTGGTATAGTGGTATAGTGGTATAGTGCTTGCCAGGGTTTGATTCCTTAGTACCACATAAACAGAAAAGGGCAGAAGTAGTGCTGTGATTCAAGTGGTAGATTGCGAGCCTTGAGCAAAAGCTCAGGAACAGTGCCCAGGTCCCGAGTTCAAGCCCCAGGACTGGCAAAAAAAAAAAAAAAGTCAATTGGAGCTAAAACCCCAGGACCCTCCCACACTGCACACCCCTACACACGCGCGCACGCACACACACACACACACACACACACACGTGACTAGGGAATCCAGCACAATGAACTTGAAGCTCTGACTAGCCCCCCCCACACACACAAGTTGCAAACAGGACTTCAATAAGCAAAGTGAGGCAAAGCCTTTGGCTCCACCTTTTTTTTGGGGGGGGGGTCATGGACCTGAACTCTGGGCCTGGGCGCTGTCCCTCAGCTCTTCAGCTCAAGGCTAGTGCTCTACCACTTGAGCCACAGCGCCACTGCTGGCTTTTTCTGCTTATGTGGTGCTGAGGAATCTAACTCAGGGCCTCATGCATGCAAGGCAAGCGCTCTATCCCTGAGCCACCTTCCCAGCCCTCCTCCACCTTTGGAAAAAGGTCTCACTCCAGGCCTGGCCCTCCCACCGAGTCCATCTCTTGGTCCCATTTGAACCTAGCCACAGTTACTCTGTCAAGGGGCAAGCATGTGACCCAAGGGCCTAGGAAGCCAGTGGGGACCCGCTTTAACCGTTGTTTCCAGCTCTGCATCCAAACCCACTCCCAGCAGAGATTTATGCAGGGCAGGGCTGTGGACCTGAAACACGTGAAAGCAGCAAAGAACGCTGGTTTCAGAGTCCAGCATCCCCTCAGCTATCTGGGTCCAGTCCCTTCCCTGCTCTGGTCTTCCCTCTTCTCATCTACAGAGTGGGACATTGGCCTTGGAAAGCAGAGTGAGGCTTGCCTGGAATGGGGTGGACACTGACCATTAGAAGGTATTTACTGAGGTGATCACCCCAAGCCTAGCAGCTGTCACCCATCTTGGAGGAATGCAGCCCAGATCAGAGCAGCTGGGTCTGGTTCTTTGGCCAGTGGTGCCTTTTGCCTCATTGCTCTTTCTTCACCTTCCAAGTTGCTGCCCCTGCCAGTCTGTGTGACTCGAGGGCCTTCCCAGCCTTCCTCCACCGGCTCCCTTCTCCGTGCCCAATCCAATTCAGCGCACAGCTGCTGCTGACTGACTGAGAAAATGACTAGACCCTGAGGTGGCAGCCGTCACCATGCTACCACTAGGTGGTGCTGCAGACACAGGCCGGGCAGTGACCTGGAGCCCTGACTCCTGACTTGTCCTCAGCCATGCTTTCCTAGGCTTTCCATGCTGGGAGTGGGGTAGGGCACCAGGTAACCGGGTCCCTGCCTCATCTGTTCTCACACTGTCCCTGAGCTTTTTCACTCAAGGCTAGTACTCTTGAGCCATAGCTCTACTTCCAGTTTTCTGGTGGTTGACGAAATGAGTCTCAAGATAGCCGGGCGCTGGTGGCTCACGCCTGTAATCGTAGCTACTCAGGAGGTTGAGATCTGAGTATCATGGTTCAAAGCCAGCCCAGGCAGGAAAGGCCATGAGACTCTGATCCCCAATAAACCACTAGAAAGCCCGAAGTAGCGCTGTGGCTTAAGTGGTTGAGGGCTAGTCTTGAGCTCAAGAGCTGAGGGATAGTGCCCAGGCCCTGGGTTCAAGCCCCACATCCAACGACAAAGAAAGAAAGAAAGAAAGTCTCAACAGGGCTGAGAAGGTGGCTCAGTGGTAGAGTGCTTGCTTTGCATGCATGAGGACCTTGGTTTGATTGCTCAGCACCACATAAACAGAAAAAGCCGGTAGTGGTGCTGTGGTTCAAATAGTAGAGCGTTAGCCTTGAGCTGAAGAGCTGAGGGTCAATGCCCAGGCCCAGACTTCAAGCCCCACGACCACAACAAAAACAACAACAAAAAGAGTCTCAAGACTTTCCTGCCTGGCTTTCGACTCCAATTCTCAGTTCTCAGCCTCCTGATTCGCTAGGATTATAGGCGTGAATTACCAGTACAACAAAAACAAAGGCTTGCTAGGTGCCGGTGGCTCACACCTGCAATCCTAGCTACTCAGGTGGCTGAGATCTGAGGATCACGGTTCAAAGCCAGCCTGGACAGGAAAGGCCATGAGACTCTTATCTCCAATAAACCACCAGAAAACTGGAAGTGGCGCTGTGGCTTAAGTGGTAGAGTGCTAGCCTTTAGTTGAAGAGCTCAGGGACAGCGCCCAGGCCCAGAGTCCAAGCCCCACAACCGACAAAAACAAACAAAACCCAGAAAACAGAAAACAACCACGCCAAAGGCTGGTTGTAGCTCAATAGGAAGCTCTTGGTTGGCATGCACAAAAGCCCTGGGTTTGATCCTCAGAGCAAATCAAGCTCTATCAGGAGCTTTAAGGCTCAAGCAAGAGATTCCCCCCTTCCGCTTTGCACCCCTTGTCAGGCCCTTTGAACTTCTCAGGCTTTTCAGCACTGAAAGAACAAGGAGGGGAGGTTTACTTGGCCATGCATGGACTCAGTGGCAGACACTTAGTCCCTGCCATTCCCAGGGCCTTTCAGAGGCAATCCAGAATGTGGGCACAGCCCTGGGACTTGCCTGGCTCTGCTGCGATGTAAGAAATAAGGGGAGCACAGGTGGGGGAGGGTGAGCTGGGAACCAGGCAGGAATTTAAAAATAAATCCTGACAGCTCCTTGGGGCCAGCGGGGCCGGTGACAGCGCTGGGGCACAGGCTGTCCCTGGCAGGGGCCAGAGCAGCAGAGGGACCGCAGTGGCGCTTGGGAGGGGACCGGTCCTGAGCTGCCCTTTGCCAGTTATCTGGGGTTTGGAGAGAGCCTGCCTGGGGTATCCTGGGGCTAGGGGACCCATCAGCCCCCCTCCCTCAACGCACGGGGGTCATTCTGTGTTGCATCAAAGGAACTGAGGTCCCTCCCTGGGGAGACTGTGACATGCCTGTGGCCTCACATGGAGAGCTGTGGCTAGCGCCAGGACACGCCAGCAGTGCTTGGCTGGTGGGGAGGTGGGGGCAAAGGAGGGGAGAATTCTGGAAGCCTCTAGTGCAGGGTGGGGAGGAGGACATTTTGAAAAGAAGGAAAGGCCCCTTGGAATGGAAGGCAAGGGAGTCACCGAGTGAGCAAACGGGGCTGGCGGGGGAATGTACATGGGAGATTGAAGAAAGGGGTAGGAGGGAAGTGAAACTGGGGCTCAGGTGGCGGAGTGCCAGCCGTGAGTGGAAAAGCTAAGCAAGTGGGGCGCTGGTGGCGCGGGCCTGTACTCCTAGCTACTCAGGAGGCTGAGATCTCAGGATCATGGTTTGAAGCCAGCCAGGGCAGGAAAGTCTATGAGATTCTTTTTTTGTCAGTCATGGGGCCTGAACTCTGGGCCTGAGCGCTGTCCCTCAGCTCTTCAGATCA